TTGGTGGAGGTGTATTCTTTTAGCCTTCTTTTGTCCGGGAAACTCCTTATTTTGCCTTCCATTTTAATGGAGAGCCTTGCTGGGTAGAGCAGTCCTGGTTGAAAGCCTTTGATTTTCTGTACTTGGAATATTTCCTGCCCTTCCCTTCCGGCTTGTAGTGTTTCTGTTGACAAGTCAGATGCTAGCCGTATTGGGGCTCCCTTATATGTTGTTACCTCTTTCTCCCTTGCTTGCTTTAGGATTCTCTGTTTGTCTTTGATATTTGCCATTTTAATAATGATGTGTCCTGGAGTGGGCCTCATTGGATTCCTCTTGAATGGGACCCTTGTGCTTCCTGGACTTGGGTGACTTTTTCTCTCCTCCAATTAGGGAATTTTTCCATCATAACTTTTTCAAACAGTTTCTCTATCCCTTCCTCCTCCTCTTCTCCTTTTGGTATCCCTATTATATGGATACTATTACGTTTCAGGTTGTCCTGCATTTCCCTCAATGCCTCCTCATTCGTTTTGAGCCTTTTTTCATTTTTTTTGCTCTTTCTGGGAGCTTTTTTCTACTTTGTCCTCCAGCTCGCTGATTCGGTCCTCAGGTTCATCTATCCTGCTTTTGGTTCCTTCTACTGTGTTCTTCAATTCAGAAATTGTATTCTTCATTTCCTCTTGTTTCTTATTGATAGTTTCTATGTCCTTTTTCATTCTGATATAGTTTGCAGTAAGTTCCTCATAGTTTCCGTGTAGTGTTTTGTAATTCTGTCTGAGCTCACTGAGCTCATTGAGCTTCCTTAGAACTGTTGTTTGGAACTCAATATCTGATAGTTTACTTGCCTCTATTTCATTTAGTTCTCTTTGTGGGGATTCCTCCTTTCCCTTCGAATGGGGCATATTTCTTTGTCTTCCCATTATTTGTGAGACTCCTTATTTTTTCTTCTGCTTCTTAAGTTTATCTGTCTTGATTCCCTGACTTTGTGGTGTGAACTTCTATGGTTGGAGACAGCTGTTTGTTTTTTTTTTTTTTACTTTCTGGATCTGCCTCTGATTGATGTCAGATGTCGACCTTGTCTGACCTTAGGCAGTTTGTTGGAGACTTCTGGTAATCTACTGTCTATGGCTATGTCCTTCAGCTGTTAATCTATTCACTATGCACTCAGAAGGCTGCCTTAGACAGTTCAGGGTGGGGCAGAGTCCCTCCTGGGGGCGAGGTTATTGGGTCTCCTCACGCTGCTGCCATTTGGGGGAGGAGTCCGCACTGGGATCCAGCCGGCCACTCTCTCTCTTCTCTCCCCAAAGCCTCCATCCCCAGTGTTTCCTCAAGTGTCGCCAGACCTCTCTGCACCCCCTTTAGCCAGGGATCTCCTGTCTGTGGCTGCCACTCTGCACTCAGCGGGCAGCTTAGACAGCACAGGATGGGGTGGAATCCCACCCAGGGGCGGGGATATTGGGTCCTTTGATGCTGGTACCACTCAGGGGGCATGGTCTCTGCTTGACCAAGATGGCTGCTGTTGCATGGGGGATGAGTCAGCACCGAAATCCCACTGGCTACTCTCCTAGTTCTCTCCCCAAAGCCTCCTTCCCCAGTCTCTTCTCAGGCATCTCTAGCCCACCCTGCCCCTGACTTTGCTGGAGACCATGGTAAGTGGCTGCAAATAAAAATTTATGCATTGGCCCTTTAAACAGTTCTTTGCGTCTCCAGCCGCTTGTTTCTCGCAGAAGGCAACCCTGCCACTTTTTGTAGCTGGCTGTTTTCTGTGTACCTTTTGGGCTCTGGTGCTGTGGGCTAGAAATCCTCATTTTTGGTTTAGACCCCACTCTCCTCAGAGGGATCCAATTGGCCACTTCAATATCTTTCTGGTGCTACTGCCTGTGGGCGCCCTGCCCGCCTCCTCAGGTCTGTACCGCACTCCTTACCAGTTAGATTGCGCTAAAGCCGATTCTTCTGTCTCCAAGGTTACAAGGCTCCTCTCTCGCTCTTGTTCAGTTGTTTGTTCCAGGTGTTTTCTCCACAATTTAGTTGTAATTCCAGGTTGGTCCTGCGAGGAGGTCAGTGTGACTTCCACTCACTCCTCTGTCATTTTGATTCCCCTTGCCTTTACATTTTCTTAAAGGTAACTTTTGAAGAGCAAAGTTTTAATTAATTAATTACTTTTTATCTTGATAGGTAATTTTTAATAGTGCTACTGCAGACTCGAAACAGTCATCATTCATGGGGGTATATGACATTTTCATTCAATCCTTTTGCTTGAAAAATAACCCATTAAATATTTTTCAAACAAAGGGAAATAGCTTTACTTCTTTTCTTATCAATACATGTTTATTGTAAAATTTAGATAATACAACCAAATGATATTTAAAAAGTGAATATAAAGCAGAGACAAATGTATTTGAAAAAATAAATTAAAAAATAAAAATGAATATCTGGAGAAACTTAACCATCTAAAGTTGATCACTATTCACATAGATAGTATCCAGATATATACAAAACACCAAATGCGTTAACATACATAGACATTTTAAATGATACTCTCACTATACTGCTGATTATATCACAATCATCCATGCTGTTTTGTACTTCTTAGTTTTCTCCTTTTTTATTAATTTATTAAGGTGAAAGCTTAAGTTATTCATTTGAGAGCTTTCTTATTTTAATATAGGCATTCAAAATTATATATATCTCTTGAAACAGTGCTTTATCTGTATCATAATGTTTGATATATTTTTATTTTCATTCTGTTTAAAAAATTTTTAAGTTCACTTGTAATTTCTCCTATGACACATTGATTATTTAGAAGTATACTGTTTAATTTCAAAATATTTATTGATTTCTTAAATTTTTTTGTTGATTTATAATTAATTGTGATTGGAAGACATACTTTGTAGGATTTTAATTGTTTAAACCTTATTACCTCTTGTTTTATGGTCTAGCATATGGTCTATTCTCAAAAATATTCCATGTGCATTGGGAAGAATGTATATTCTGCTGTTATAGGGTGGAGTATTGTATAGGTGTCAGTTAGGCTAGATTGGCTGATAATATTGTTCAATTCTTCTGTATCTTTTCTATTTTATGTCTCATTGTCCTATCAATTATTATGAAAAGTAGGTTATAAAATCTTTAATTATTATTGTTCAATTGTCTACGTCTCCTCTCAGTCCCGTCAGTTTCTGCTGCATGTAGTTTTGAGGTCTGTTGTTAGGCATGTATATGTTTTTAATTGTTTATCTTCCTTATTAATTTATACTTTGTTTAATAATAACTTTTTTTAAATAGTCACCATGCTGTACATTACATCTCTGGTAGTTATTTATCTTTTTTCCTGAAGTAAATATCACTTTTATTATTTAATATTATGGCTAATGCAAGTTAATTGCAAATTGAAAAAGACATAAACCAAGGGTCCATATCCTCTCTCTTTCATCTCTTTTTTCAGTTTTTCATTAGAATTCAAGCAAGGTCCTTACAATGCTAAGGTATAATGAGTAGGATGAGGTTATCAACAAGCTGGCTAAGAATCACAACTATAAAAGACTTTTTATGGGCACACATAAAAGGAAAACCATAAACTACACATTGCACAGTAAAAAGGATCTTTATTATTTATGAAGCACCTATTATGTACTATGGAAAAAAGAATCATTTATTCCTCACGTTAACGCTAGGAGGTCTTTACATCCCAATTTACAGTTGAAAAAACAGGCTTATGAAGTAACTTTCCAGGAGTCACACAACTGGTAAGTGACTCAGCTGGGATTTACACACCAGTCATGCTACCACAGACATGGGACTTATTTATCTTTTAACTGGAATGATACTTTATACTTATAAAATTCCCTTTTTGTTTGTAGTAATATTTTTGTCTTAAAGTCTATTTTGTCTGTCACTATTATAGTGGCTTTATCTGTTTTATAGTTTCTATTTGCATGGTGTATTTTCTCTTACTTTATGTAAGCTGATGCACTCTCGACGTAACCGCTGAGTTATAGCCAGCCCATCTTACTTTATTTTTTTTTTTTATTAATTTATTTACTTTTTAAATACATTTGTCTCTGCCTCCCCCCCCTTTCCCTTGCCCCCTCCCACCTTCCCTCCCTCAGCTCTTCCCCTTTGGTTTTGTCCATGAGTCCTTGCTATATGTTCCTTGACTTTCCCCTTCCCTTCCCTTTCCCTGCCCCCCCCTTCCCTCTTGTCTCTGTTGATTTCTTTTCCTTTCAGTGTTGCTGGCCATATTTGCCTTGCTTCTTTGCATTGTTGGTTAGGTTCCGCTTATAGGTGAGATCATATGGTATTTGTCTTTCGCCCCCTGGCTTATTTCGCTTAGCATGATGCTCTCCAGTTCCATCCATACTGTTGCGAAGTTTAGTACTTCTTTTTTTCTTTCTGCTACGTAGTATTCCATTGTGTATATGTACCATAATTAACCTATTTGTATCTTTGAATCTAAGTGTGTCTCTCGTATATAGCATATAGTTGTTGGATCTTGTCTGCCTTCTGATTGGGTATTTAGTCCTTTTACTTTTTCAATGGAAATTTTAATTGAAATAATTGTAGATTCTCATGGAGATCAAAGAAATAATACAGAATGGTCCCTGGTACACTTTGTTTAGTTTTTCTCCAATGGTAATATTTTGCAAAACTACAATCACAGCTTGAATATTGACACTGATATAATTCATAGCTCTTATTCAAGTTTCCCTAGTTTTACTTGTACTCATTTGCATTGTGCGTGTGATGGGAGGTGGAGGGCAGTGAGTTTATTAAGTCCTATTCAGTTTTATCACCTGCTGCAGGTTAGTGTATCCAATACCACAGTACCAAACAGTTCCAACACCAGAAGTCACTAGTGTAGCTCTTTTGTAACCACTTTTACTTCCCTGAAACCACCCCCTTTACCCCTACTTAACCCTTTGCAACCACTAATATGACCACTATTTCTAAAATTTTCTCATTTAAAAATGCTATATAAATGGAACAATGCATTATGTAACCCTTTTACATTGGGTTATTAGCTGAAAAAAAGGGAACACTTCATAAATTTGCATATCATCTTGGCACATGGGCCATGCTAATCTTCTCTCTCTCATGCCATTTTTGTGTATGTGTTGCCAAAGTGTGAACAATCAATATTTTTTAACATAGGTATTGATGTAGCTGTTATTATATCTCCTAATTTTTGTTCTCTATCTTATGTCTTTTCATTCCTCTATTCCTCCTTTACTGTCTTTTTTGTGGTAAATAAAACATTTCTAGTGTGCTATTTTAATTCCTTTGTATTTTGTCTTTAATTATATTTTTGGAATGATTTTTAGTGGTTCTTCTGAAGGAATTATAGTATATATCTTAACTAAAAACACTCTATTTCAGATAATACTAACTTAATTCCAGTAGACTAGAGGAACTGTGCTCTATTCCCTCTGCCTCCTTTGTGATATTATTGTCATATATATTATTTTATATGTTATAGTCTCCCAAATATAGTTTTATAATTATTCTCTTATGCAATTTTATTTTAAATAAGAGAAGAAAAGAGAAAAACTATCTACATACTATGTCTTTTAACTATATAATTACCTTTACTCATGTTCTTTATTTCTTTGTGTTGATTTGAATTACTGTCTAGCACTATTTCTTTTCAGCCTGAAGAACTTCCTTAGTATTCTTTGTGAGGCAGGTCATGTTTACCTGGTAATGTCTTTTTTTGTTTTCATTTTTGAAATATTATTTTCCAGACATGGATCCTTGTTTGACATTATTTTTTTTCTGTCAGTACTTTTAAGGTGTAATCCCATTGCTTTCTGGACCTCCACCATTTCCGATGATAAATCAGCTGTTTAACTATCAAGTCCCCTTCCCTATTGTATGTGATGAATTGTTTTTCTTTTGCTACTTTCAAGATTTTCTCTTTTTCTTTGCCTTTCAATTCTTTGACTATGATGTATCTCGGTGTAGATTTCTTTGTTTTACTACCTCAAGTCTGTTGAGATTTTTGGATGTGTAGATTAATGTTTTTGACCAATTTGGGGAAGTTTTTGGCCATTATTTCTTCAAATACTTTTTTTTGCCCCTTTATCTATCTCTTCCCCTTCTCAAACCCCAAGTATTAATATGTTTGTGCACTTAATGGTGTCTCACAGATCTTTCAGGCTCTGCTAATATTTCTTCATTATGTTTTCTTTCTGTCCTTTGCATTGAACAATTTCTATTGTTTTAATCTTCAAGGTTGCTTTTTTCCTGCCAGCTTAAATCTGTTGTTGAGACCCTCCAGTGAATTTTTCATTTCAGTTGTCCTTTTTAACTCTGGAATTTCAAAATGATCTTTTAAAAATAATTTCTATATCTTTATTGATAGTCTGTATGCGATGAGTCATTATTGTCACATTTTCTTTTAATTCTTTAAACATGGTTTCTTTGAGATCTCTGAACACATTTATAATACTTGCTTCAAAGTTTCATCTGGCAAGTCTATCACCTGGCATCTTTAAGATGCTCTTTATGTTGCCTGCTTTTTTCTGTGTGTGGGTTTCACTATCCTGTTTTTATTTTTTACATGTCTCACAACTTTTTGTTGAAAATCAAACATTTTGATAATATAACATAAGAACTCTGGATTTTGATTTCTCTCTCCCCTGAGTTTGTTGTTGCTATATTTGTTTCCTATTTATTTAGTGACTTGCCTAGACTAACTATATTGTGTGTCTCCTCAGTAGTATGCAACTGCTGATAGCTCTACTTAGTTTTTTTTTAAATTATTTTTTATTATGGTATAATTAAAACATAAAATTATAGCCCCTGGAACTTCAGCTGCCACCCGTGAGAGCTCAGCCAACCCTCTTGTGGCTTCACACTTCCTACCATTCTTGATGTGACTTCTTCTGCAAGTCCTTGGTTATAAAGCTTCTCTCAAGCTAGTCTTCATTTGGTTATTCAGGGTGATTTTTCCATAATTTAGTTGTAATTCCAGTTTGCTTCTGGGAGGAAGTTAGTGTAGCTTCCACCTAATCTACCACCATCTTGGATCCCTCTTTATTGAGGACAACTGTAATAGCATAAATATAAAATAAAATAAAATAAAGACTTAAATGTAAGTCTTGATAACCTTAAAATCCTAGAAGAAAACACAGGCAGTAAAATCTCAGACATTTCTTGTGGCATCATTTTTTATGATATATTTCTTTGGTCAAAGGAAACAAAAGAAAAATAAACAAATAGCACTACATCAAACTCAAAAGTTTCTGCACAGTTAAGAAAACCACCAGCATAATGAAAAGAAAACTCACTGAATGGGAGAACATATTTGCCAATATATCTGATAAAGGGTTAATATCCAAAATTTATAGAGTTCTAAAACTCAACACCAAAAACAAACTGAGAATCCAATTAAAAAAATGGGCAAAGGACCTGAATAGATACTTCTCTGAAGAGTACATACAGATGGCCAATAAACATATGAAAAGATATTCAATGTCACTAATCATCAAAGAAATGCAAATTAAAACCCCAATAAGATATCACTTCACACCTGTCAGAATGTCTACTGTCAATAAATCAACATATAACAAGTGTTGGTGAGAATGTGGAGAAAGGAGAACCCTCATGCACTTTTAGTGGGAATGCAGATTGGGACAACCACTGTGAAAAGCAGTATGGAGTTACCTCAAAATATTAAAAATGGTACTGCCTTATGACTCGGCAATTCCACTTCTGGGAATTTATCTGAAGAAACCTGAAACACTAATTCAAAAGAATATATGCAACCCTACGTTCACTGTAGCATTATATACAATCACCAAGATATGGAAGCAACCCAAGTGTCCATCAGTAGATGAGTGGATAAAATAGCTTGGTACATTTACACAATGGAATACTACTTGGCTGTAAAAAAGAAAAACATTTATCCTTTGTAACAGCATAGATGGACTTAGAGAACATTATGCTAAGTGAAGTAAACCAGTCAGAAAAGGACAATTACCATTTGATTTTACTCATATGTGGAATCTAATGAACAAACTAAGTAACAAGCAAAATACAGATAGACTTGTAGATAGAGAGAAGGCTGACAGTTCTGGAGGTAAGGGTTGGAGGAATCAAGCAAAAAAGAAAAAAAGAAAGAATTTATGGACATGGACAACTGTGTGGTGATTGCAGGTGAGAGGGGGAGGGTGGAGGTGAAAAGGACATGGGGAAATAAACGGTAATGGAGGAAATACAATAAAAATACAGTTAAAAGAATAAAAACAAAGCAACAAAAATAATCTAAAGATATGAAAAATATAAAATTATATTTATTTTAAATGTACAACATAATGATTCAATATTTGTATATATTGTGAAATGACCACCACAGTAAGTCTATTTAAGATCCATCAAGATATGTAGTTACAAAAAACTTTTTTTTCCTGTGGTGAGAGTTTGTAAGATTTACTCTCCTAGTACTTTCAAATATGCAATACAGTATTATTCACTATAGTCACCATGCTGTACATTATATCCCAATGACTTATTTATTTTATAACTTGAAGTTTGTATCTTTGACTCCCTTTACCCATTTTGTCCACCCACCAACCCTTGCCTTTGGCAACCACCAATCTTTTCTCTGTATATATGATCTCTGGTATTCCGTTTCACATATAAGTGAGATCATGCAATATTTGTACTTCTGTGATTTATTTCACGTGACGTAATGCCCTCCAGTTGCATGCATATTGTCACAAATAGAGAGATTTCTTTCTTTTTATGGCTGTGTGTGTACATACACACGTACAAACACACATATAAATATATATATATATATAATACATATATAAAACATCTTTATCCATTAATTGACATTTAGGTTGTTTTCCTATCTTGGCTATTGTAAAAAAATGCTGAAATCAAAATGGAGGTACATATACCTGTTTGAATTAGTGTTTTGGTTTTCTTTGGATAAATAACCTCCTCAAAAACTTTTAAAAAATAATTTTTGATATTATTTTTAAGACTGGCTTTTTGGGCTCATTTCTTAGTCAATATAGCCTAGTGATTAACCAAAGATTGGTCAGAGGTTGTGTTTAAGTACTTTGAGCCAGTAAGGTTTATACCCTTTGCCAATAGATCTGTGAGTTTGTGTAATGATCTTTAAAGCTTAGGCAGTTTATAAGCCCTTCACAACTTTACTTTCTGTGCTTCAAACATTTCACATTCATCCAGGGACAGCAGCTCACTAAGGTTCTCTCCAGTCTCATTGGAGTGTAAGTACAGCCCTGTGTACGCACATAGCATTTCAGACCCCCAAGGATATATGGAAGCTTATCAAGGTTGACTTTGGCTGTCTTGATCCCTGAATATCATTTATAAATGTCTTACCTTTCTTCTGGTAAGCCCAACCAGTACGGCAACCTCAGATTAGCTTCAATTTTGGTCATCTTTTATTATTTGCCACCAAGGTTATTATTGTTCTCAATAATCCCCCAAGGCATGGGTTTTTCCATGCTTACTCCAAATGATGTCAGCCCCCCTAGCAGTGGAGTTGCTGGAGCTCATGGCCTTCCTTACTCTGGTAGAACTATATGTGCCTTGAAGCTGGGGTTTGGGCATAGAACAACTTCAGGCAAAAACATAGTGAACTCTCCCTGTTCTTACTAAAGTTCAATAGTTTTTCTTGAAAAAAATGCTTATCAGTATGTTTTTGCTTTGGTTAATTTCAGCTTCCAGAAATGGTTGTTTTGGACAATTTTGTCCAGTTTTATTGTAGCATTTTGGGAAGAGGATTTTCCAAGCTCCTCATTCTGCTACTCCAGAAGTCCTGCCCCAGTAATTACTCTCTGTGATTCTGTTAATCAAAGACAATAGTGAAATTGGAACATACTCAGAGTACAGGCATGCCACAGAGATACTGTGGGTTTGGTTCCAAACCATCATAATAAAGCAAATATTACAATAAACTGAGTCATGCAAATGTTTTGGTTTTCCAATGTAAGTAAAAGTATTGTTTATACTACTCTATACTGTATTCTATTATGTATCACATATAAAATAACATTATGTCTAAAATAATCCTACACATTTTAATTTAAAATAAGTTGTTGATTAAAACATGCTAACTCTCATCTGAGCCCCAGCGAGTTATAATCTTTTTGCT